CCACCCCTCACCCCCATTAGCTGGGATTAGAGGCATTTCATCATACCCTGCTTGTGTGTTACTGAGGATTGATACCTAGGGCCTCATGCTTGCTAAGCAAGCACTCAGACAACTGAGTTATATCCCCTCCTTTCCATGACTTTAATTGTAATCTGTTCCATTTGCTGACTGGGTTGTGGATTTCCCTGTTTCTCAGGCCAGCCCGTCCTATGGGTTGGGTTGAACATCTGGTTCAGCTTTGATAGGAACAGATAGAGGCTCCTCCTACAGGATGTAGACAAGTGAGCCCTTGGTAGCGGCAGTGGACAGCCTCGGGGTGCTGCTCTTCTCAACCCTGGCCTCAGCAGTGAATGGATCCACAGAGAACTTACTTTTCCTGCCCACACAAAAGCAAAAACATTCTCTCTCGGCTGTCTGTAGGCACGACGTTTGCTCTGGCTGAGCTGCAGGACTGTCCAGGTAGGAAATAAGGTATAGGCTCTGATGTCCTCTACGGCAGGCTAAACAACAGCCCTACAAAAACACCCGCATCCTACTTTAGGGACCGTGAGTGTTAGCTTACAGGTGATGTGCTCCAGTGAAGGATCCTGCCATGGGGAGACGACCTTAGGTTGTCTGGATAGGCCTAGAAATGTCCACAGGGATCGGAAAGAAGAAGGCTGAGGAGAGGTGTTGCGGATTGCTGCCATCCAAGTATAACGGTCTGACTTCAAAGAGAGCTGAGACCACTTTCAAGAGACTTCAGAACTGGGCCTGTTGAATGTTGATGCTCCCTCAAAAAAAGAGGGGTAAAGAGGATCACTGGACCTTCATCTGAGATTCTGACCACACTCCCTCCTAGACCTTCCGGCCTGCTATATATTATCCTGCCCTGATTGCATGTGACTTCATGGCCCTGGGAAGTGCTACAGTCTATAGGCCATGAAAGGTTAACTGAAGGGGTGATTCCATCAAGCTGGAATGAGACTTCACGTGATGCAGTTGCTTTGGGGTCCCCCACGCTCCTGTAAGCAACTCCTCATCCATGCACTGAAAGAAAGCCCAGTAAGATCCTAAGTTGGTAGACTTTTAACTGGGGTTTCCCTCCTGTCCACCGGTTCCCAAATAACCACTCTGAGGCTTAATTTTCATTACAAACTATTTGGGCTATTAGCTCATTCTTATTATTAACTAGCTCTTACAACTTAAATTAACCCATTTCTATCCTATATTTTACCATGAGACTTGTAGCTTGTTACCTCACATCTTACTTCCCCAGTGGCTGCTGGTATCTCCCAGTTCTGCCTTCTTTCTCTCTGTATCTCTGTTTAGATTTCCTGCCTGGCTATATTCTGCCTGGCTATTGGCCAAATCAGCTTCTTTAATTCAATAATAACAAAATATATTCACAGCATACAGAGGGAGATCCCACATCATCTCCCCTTTTCTGTCTATTTAAAAAGAAGGGTTTTAATTTTAACATATTAAAATTTCATATAACTAAACAGGTATCAAGCAAGAATTACAGTTATAATATTTAGTCTATTTGTATTTGGCAAAATTAAAGAAAACACGCTATAATCTATTCTATATTTTAGATTCATTCATTTTGAGGAGACAGGGGAGAGGGGGCTTGTCAGATCCAGGGGCCCTAAACAAGCAACCACAGACTTTGAGACAGACTGTTATTGGTGCCCTGAAGCAAGGGGGTAGATGTTTGTTCTAGGTCTCTGGGGAAAAGAGTTCCTGAAACACAAAGTTGTGGTAAAGGTAAAGATGCCACATCACTGCTGACACTGAAGACAAAGGAAAGCTGTTGGTCCCCAAGTGAAGGAATGTGGCTTTAGAAGCTGGGAAGGGAGGGACAAGGAACCAGACTCTCCCTAGAGACCCTGCTTCCAATCTTCAAATCAACAGGACCCTAAGAGAATAAACACTTTAAGTTGTCAGGAAATGTGTTATAGCAACCAGAGGAAACTAATACACTCCAGAAGAGAAGCTGGCTGGTCCCTGACCTCTCTCATTCCAGCATACTTCAGAAACTCCAAAAGAAGATGGGTGGACAGTCTAGATTCACAGTAATACAGGCACTTAGGTGCATCCCAAATTCTTTGGGATGCTCTTGAAGCTAGGAGAACAGAGGCCTAGAAGAAGAAGCATGGGAAAGGAACATCCTTGTGAACTGGAACATATGCAATACGAATCCTGAGAAGCTGCCCTTGGGATGCAGTCATCCAGATGAGCAAGGTCATGTTCAGGAGCAAGAAAAGACATCAGGGTGCTGATGGTGGTGAAGCCCACACAGAGGATGAACCTGGAGCTTAGGAATAGAATCAACATTCCAAACACATCCCAAACTTCTAGAAAATGCAAAGGCTTGAGTTGATTGAATCCTTGATGCTGCTGAGAGTCCTCACTGTGACAGTCCTCTGCCCCTGTCTGGTCCCCAGCTTAGCCTTGTCTCCACCCAGCCCCATCAAAACTGCCAACTCCTGAGCATCCACCATGTGCAGCAGGTCCCATGGGCTCTTCTAAAGAACTCCATTGCTTTCCTTTGATCATTCAGACTCATCGTCTCACACATTCATTCTTGTCTCCTTCCTTGACCATCTCTCTGGACTGCCTGAAGGCATTGTGTGATAAACAAGCCCCCGACAGCGTGGCAAATGCCTGTGACCTCAGCTTTCAGGAAGGTGAGCAGTTGTAAATTCAAGGCCAGCTGGGCTACACAGGAAAGCCTATCAATAATAAGAAGGGTCCTGGGGAGATTTGCCCAGTGAGTAACATGTTTAGTGCTTCACTGCAATCCCAGTGCTCACACAGCTGGGTGTTGATGGTACATGACTCTAATCCTAGCACAAGTCTATGTCTGCATGCACTGAGCTGCATGCCATTGTGGACTGCTGTGCTCTGGGCATGGCATGGTCACAACTATCCTGAATTCAGAGAAGCAGTGATAAGTCACAAGAGACCTTCACCTTATTGGAACCTCCTGAGAAGTCAGTTCCCTCCTGAGAGGAAGGGAGGGTCCACTCCCTCTTGGGGAGTGGGTCATAAGATGGCATATGGAATTCCACCCCTCACTAAGGATATATAAGTGGCTAACTATTGAGGGGGAGCAGAGACTGTTCTTCAGTGATGTAACTGCCCCTAAGTTGCTCGTGCTCTTGTATTTAACCCCTAAGCCATGCTTCTCGAAGTATAAGCCCAGTTAAACTCACTGGTTCATCAAGTTGGACTTGTTTGGGTCATGTTTCTGACCTGTTGTTGGGGCTGTGTCAGGGAACAGTTCATGGCTCCCCAGGAAGATCAGATGCCTCGCTGCAGTAGCGTTGTGTATGTGTGGTCTTTCTATGAGGAATGGCTAGTGAGACTTTCCCACTGCTGGCTGACTCTGGACCAGCTCGGTGCCCAGTTAGAGGGCCCTTTGCCTCTCTCTGGGTGCTGTCGTTTTTCCTACCTAGGGTTTTGTCTCGGGCTCCAGGTGTGTGGCTTAGAGATAGGGAGAAGTGAGTCCACAGGCTGTCCAAAAAGAACCTGGAGAGAATCCTGACATAGACCAAGGTGTGGGCAGCTCTGGTGTAGCCTTAAGGTCTAGGACTGAATCTGAGTCCAGGTAAGGGAGCCAGAGAAGGGGCAGCCTCTGCTGGCTCCACAGGGAAGCTAAGCATGAAAGTCACCAGATTTCGATAAAGTCAATGAAAACTTGCAAATGAATGAGGCTACATCGCTAATTTTTCTGTGACACCTCTGAAAGGGAAGGGGCAGGTAGTGACACAAGAGCCTGCTTTGCCTGCTTCTGTGGGGAGGTACAGAAGGGTTAAAAAAACAACAACCCAAATCCCTGCTCAGATCTGCCTGTGTGTCCTGTTTTCCCTTAGGCTGCACAACCGCCTTAGCTTTGGCCAGAAGCTGTGTGACTCTGAGCAACGGCTTAACCTTCTGCAGGTGGCTGTCTCTCAGAGGGAGGGAATATTTGCTGTTGATGATGACAATGGCTCCCATTTATCAAGCGAGGTTCCACTGCCAGGTTTAATGCTGAGAACTCAACACATGTTTTCATTTAAGCCTTTCAACACCTCTATGACATAGACTTTATTATACTTTTTAAAATCTTATCAGAAAGCTGAACCTCAGATATGTAAAACTGTTTGTCTGAGACCTCATGGCCTATTGGCCAACTCAGGATTTGAGTTGAGAGAGCAGACTCCAGTCTCAAGGTCTCAGCTAACCCTGGATCAGAATTCTTGGAAGAGAATGTATGGGCAGATTGGTTGGCAAAGGATTACCAAGTGTATTTAATAGCTTATATAAAAGATTGTTGATTTTTAGAAAAGAAAGTTTTAAATAGTGTTTAAAGTTTGATATACATCCCTGATAAAACTAGGTCAATGAAACAAAAAGCAGTATACAAAAATGGAAATACTACTAAGAGAAAAAGTTTATTAACCTAGTAATAAATACAAATTAGTATGTGTGAGGGGAGCATGGGAAGAGAGTGGTCTGCAAGCCGAAAGCAGCCCTGGGGAGACTGGGAACTGTGAGAAATAAATGTCCATGATTTATAAACCCTCAGTCTGGGACAGTCTGTTAATGTAGCCAAGAGAACTAAGATTTCATATTACCTACAAGGAAGAAGAAAAATTGTGCAATATAGAAAGAAACGTAATCATAGTTCAATGCACACAACAAAAAAAAATTACAACTGTGCACTGTTGTTAGCTTATCAAACTAGAGCGGATAAAGTGGCAACTGGAGCGTAATTGATTTAATGTACTCCTAATTTGTTGCTATTGTGTTCTTGGGATGAATATTTAGGTGTCTGATCAAAAAAAGCAATAAACATTTTTATGATAATTGCCAAGGCAAAGTCAATTGCAAGCGGCCAGGCTTGTTGGGGATTGAGGAAACCCGGCCTCAGAGAAGCCAGGACTGGGGGTGGGGGTGGGGGATGGGAGCGTGGGTCCCCCGCGGGGGAGGGGGCGTGGCCTGGCTCGTGAGGTGGGGTGAGTGAGGACCACAACTCCCAGGCTCCCGCGCGCCGCCACGCCCTGGCCACGTGAGCCGCGCGGCGGGGGTGCGGTAGCAGCTGCAGCCTTACCTAGGCTAGTCCGGAGCCGCGAGCGGACTGACGCGACCCGGGCGGCCGCCCAGTGCGCGCACCATGGCGGTGAGTTCTGTGTTGCGCAGCGGAGGGGACGGAGACGGGCGGCTGTGCGGCCCTCCGGGAGATCTTCACAGTCCCTGGCCCCGGGCTAGAGAGGAGGTTGTGTCAGCGACGCTGTCACAGCTGGAATAGGGCTGGAGGCGCTGCAGGTGAAGCTGGCTGTTGCTCTGGAGTTTGTTTGTCCCCTCCTGCAGGGTGTCAGTCACTACAACCAGGCCAGCCCCAAGTGGGAGAGGGAGGACAGCTGTCCGCGGTCTCTTCCCGGGATCTAGCCAGATTCGAGGCATTGCGGAAAGGTTTCCTCCAAGGGGAGGCCCGACGGGGTTCAGCGCAGCCCACGCGCGTGCACTGAGCACACACCCCCAGATCGGCCTGACCTGAGCACGTTCTTGGGTCTGCTTCTTTAAAACTAGCTACTTCCTCATCCTTCTTGCCCCCGGAATCTGAAAGTAGCGTTTTTAACAGACGTCTTTTCCTGGTGAAGTTCTCCCTTTGAGAGAATGACGCTTGCTTCCTCTTTGAGGAAATCCTATCAGTTTCTTCATCTCACAAAGAATGTCTTGGAATCTAAGACAGGAAGCCCACCCAGGCTGTTTGGTAGAGAGGCACTCCACCTTCTGCTGATCCTCTTACACGGAAAATAGATGGGAACCCCTTTATAAAGGTGCCCAGGCAGTCAACGGCAGCACACGGGCTTTCGTCCCTTTCTGAAGTGTCTGGTTAAAAAACGAAGGCACTTTTCTTCAAGTTTAACCCCAAATGAGAAAAAAGAAAAGAAGCCTTAGTGAATGACTCTGGTTTTGGGCACGGTCCCTCCTCTGTGAGGTGCCGCCCTTCATAAAGCACAGATAAACTGCTGGAGACACAGATTTATTATCCCCAGTGGGAACACAACTGGCGCCCTGCGCTTACATATCTCAATACAAGACCTACCAACTAAAGCTACGGTCCCTTCCTGTAAGTCTGGCTGTGCTTTGTATGGAAGTGGAATCGTTCCATATGGTGGTGCAAGGTGAGGACACCCTGCCTTCTGGCTTCCCAGCTGCCTCCTGCTTCCCAACTGTCCCAGACACTTGCCTCCCCTCCCACAGATGGCTTTGTTCCCTCCCCAGGTCACCCTGCCTCTCTGCTTCTGCCTGCAATCATTCCCCTGCTAAGCAATTCGAATGCCACCAGCCTTCTCTCAGTGATTTGCATCCTCAGGGTCTACACATTCCTAGCACAAGGAAAGGAGAAACTGTTGGGAGAAGTTTGCTGTCTGTAGGTCTTTCCGTGGGCAGCAAAAGGTGTTGACTGCTTTTTTGCTCCTGAGGTAGTTGGCCTGGACCCAAGGATGATAGAATAAAATGAGTTGTGGAAACTTCCAGAGTGACTAAATTAGCTACTGGACACATGCCATCCATGCCTACTGCTTTACTAGCCAGACTGGGCGGAATGACAGGCACAGCCTCCACCTGGCAGGGTGGGGCCAGAGGCCTCTGCAGCTGCATCCTCGGGATACATGGAGTTCCCCTGTTGTTTGCATCATCATATTATTCTTGTGTGAGCATTTTTCCAGGTCATCAGCTGTTCATTTTGAAATTCTAACAAGGTGTCTCAGGATGGTGGAACTCAAAATGATTTTCCTATTTGGTACTATTGTAACTTTCTATGTTTGCCAACTACTACTTTCATATTAGGGAGATAAACTGCTTATCGTTCAACATGATTTTGAAGTTGTTACATAATTTACCTGGCCAACTCCAGCTAAGTAGGCTGGGGACATGGTGGTTTTGACTATTTCTCCAACATACCGCTACAGATTCTTGCTCCAGAAATACCCAGAGTGCTTATGAAACATGCTGCAATTTGAAGAGTGACTCATGCTTTCTAGAAAGTTCCGTGACTGAATACATGGACCTTTACACAAGGCCCTGCGAACAGTTGCTGGCAATAGTAGAGATGTTGGGCTGGGGGAGGTACTGACAGGAGCTGAGCGCAGTGCAAGCCTGTGCAGCCCTCGAAGGTATGTGTTCAAACTATACCATGCCCAGTGCTCATCTGAACCTCTTCCCCTGGGTTCTGATTGACAGGTCTATGGAGCCCAGGCACTGCATTTTCAGTAAAGCTCTGAGGTCCTGAGGGAACATGACATCCTTCACTAAGCTACCTGGGCAGCGTGGCACTTGTTGACAGTCTCTGCCCTCAGTGGTTCACCTGTAATTCCCTGTGTGTGTGGAACCAGGATTTCGCACATCTGTGGTCCGCCCAGGCGTCTTTCCTCCTCACCTCTACCCCCTTGCTTTGCATCCTGTTTACCAGCTGTAGTGCCTTAAGCACTGGCTTTTCTTCCCTGTCCTCACATACCATGGTCTTGTTTGCTTCCTTTCTTTATCCTTAAAGGCCTAAGCACCACCATTGTGATTGCATGGATGTCTTTTCTCCTATATTTTTCTCCTTTCCTAGCTTCTTCCCTTTTTTTCTCCCAGTGTAACTTGTCTCTGCCATTTTCACATCTTTTTTGGAAATGTTAAAACTAACAATCAAAGACTCAGTTGATCGAGTGCTTGTCTGGCACACACAGGGTCATAATTGAATCCCCAGTGCCACAGAAACCTAGTGTGGTGGTTCATTCTTGTTATCCCAGCACTCAGAGGCTGGAATTAGGAGGAACACAAGTTCAGAATCATTCTCAAATTCAAGGCCAGCCGGGACTATGCAAGACCCTGAACAAAACAAAATGTAATGGTTCCGCAGTTAAGATTGTGTTCTGCTCTGTCTCCTTTCATCGCCTGATGAAGGTTAATATTCAGGAGGATGCCTATATGTTTTTCTTTGGGTTCTCCTTCTTATTTAACTTCTCTAAGATCACGAATTATAGGCTCAATGTCCTTTGTTTATGGCTAGAAACCAAATATGAGTGAGTACATCCATGTTCCTCTTTTTGGGTCTGGCTTACCTCACTCAGGATAGTGTTTTCTATTTCCATCCATTTGTCTGCAAACTTCAAGAAGTCCTTGTTTTTTACTGCTGAGTAGTACTCTAATATGTATATATTCCATACTTTCTTCATCCATTCTTCAACTGAAGGGCATCTAGGTTGTTTCCAGGTTCTGGCTATTACAAATAATGCTGCTATGAGCATAGTAGAGCTGGACGGAGGTGGGTGGTCCTTGGACTTCCCACAAGGGAGGGAGAGGGAGGGGAGGGAAATGGGAGGTGGTGGTGGGGAAGAGACAGAAATCTTTAATAAATAAATAAAAAAAGAACCTTTGCTTTTATAAAGAAACCAAGTTGTAGAATAAAATAATACTCTGATTTCCCCCATTAAAGGTTATATTTTATCTTCTGATCTAATTGTAGGCTATGCTTAAGTGCAGAATAACATTGGGCATTTTCTGTTGTTGTTTTGAGATCTGGGTTAAACTGTTACAGGCTAAGAATGTCTTGCTGTCTTTCTGAAAAATAAAAGAAAGTGTTTTTGAAAAATAAATAAATAAATATTGTGTTCTGCTTTTGCAGAGAACCTAGTTGGGGTCCCAGAACGCATGTCATCCGTGGGTAGCCACAACTACCTGCAACTGTAGCTCCAGGAGGAGTCTGGGACCCTCTTCTGTGGGCACATGCAAAAGCTCGCACACAGGTTCACACTTACACACATAATTAAAAATAAAAGTATTTTTTGCCAGATAAAGCGTTGCATGCCTTAACTGAAAACACTTGGGAGGCAGAGGCAGATAGATCTGGTATACGTAGCAAGTTCCAATACATGGTGAGGCTCTCTCTCTCTCCATATGTATGTATGTATAGAACAAAAAGAAAAAAAAATTTCCACAAATTCGTTTTGTTTACTTATGTCGAATGAGGGTCAGGTTTGAAGACATGAGTTCTATTCCTACTGCTGCCACCACCTCACAGTATAACCCTGGGCGTGCCATAACTTCCTCGTGGGCTTCCTTAAAGGTTGTGAGAGCACAGACTCTGAAACCAGTCTGTCTGGGGAAAATCCTGCTGGCCAAGATGCCAACAGATATGAGAAAAGATGAGCACTCTCCCAGGTTAGAGTCTGTCCAACAAGAAAAGTAGTGGGCAGGAGACAGGGCTCTAGGTTCTGCCTTCTCCAGGAAAGAGAGCTGTTGAGCTATTCCAGCTTCCCCCAGACTTGATTACAGAGTCATCTCTCAGATTGTCTTAACAGCCTGTGGTTCTCATAGAATTCTTTAGGTTTTGGGGAGAGGGAGCGGTATTTGTTTTTTGTTTTGTTTTGTTTTTTTTAGAGGCGAGGTTAAAACTCTTTTTTTTTTAATTGATTTTTATTGAGCTCTACATTTTTCTCTGTTTCCCTCCCTGCCTCTCCCCTACTCTCAAGGTCCCCATGCTCCCAATTTACTCAGGAGATCTTGTCTTTTTCTACTTCCCATGTAGATTAGATCTATGTGTGTCTCTCTTAGGGTCCTCATTGTTGTCTAGGTTCTCTGGAATTGTGATTTGTAGGCTGGATTTTCTTTGCTTTATGTTTAAAAACCATTTATGAGTGAGTACATGTGATAATTGTCTTTCTGGGTCTGGGTTTGCCAGCAAAATTCAAGATGTCATTTTTTTTTCTGCTGTGTAAATGTACCACATTTTCCTTATCCATTCTTCAGTCGAGGGGCATTTAGGTTGTTTCCAGGTTCTGGCTATGACAAACAATGCTGCTATGAATATAGTTGAGCACATGTCCTTGTGGCACAATTGAGCATCCTTTGGAAATGTACCCATAAGTGGTATTACTGGGTCTTGAGGAAGGTTGTTTCCTAATTTTCTAAGAAATCACCACACGGACATCCAAAGGGGTTGTACCAGCTTGCATTCGTACCAGCAATGCAGAAGTGTTCCCTTTTCCCCACAACCTCTCCAGCATATTATCAGTGTTTTTGATCTTGATCTTGGCCATTCTTACAGTTGTAAAATGGAATTTCAGAGTTGTTTAGATTTGCATTTCTCTGATGACTAAGGATGTTGAGCATTTCCTTAAGTTTTTT